GTTTAAAAGAAACGTTTTATACGTTAATAATGAAAAAATAGCGCGGCCGAGTTGTTTGAAGTAAATTGTTATCATTACGCGAAATGAGCTATTTATAAAAATGTCTAAAGAAAAAAAGCAATTATGTGCGGATAAATTATGAAACAATGTACAAAGAAAATGTAATCTCCGATTAAAAATATATACCTACTGTTTTTTTTTTGAGGAAATTAAAAAATGTTTCATACGAAATAATCGTTAAATCTATTTTTAAACCGAACAAGTGGAGAGCAGAAATTTTCGAACACTCGGTGTAGGCGTAATGAATTCGATCGTAGATGGACTTATCATTGACACAAGTCAAAGATACAGCAATTATGGCCAATAGGTACACCGCTCGCATGTGTGAACCATTTAACTTGTGCCGGCGCACACATAAATAGTGTGTTTTTTTCGCACACCGAGAGAGATTGAAAATAGCTTTATGTGGTTTATGACACGCGGACGGCGATTGGCATGTCGGCTAACGCGGGTCCGTTTATATTATTAAATGGCCCGTTCGCGATCATAAAATACAAAGTACGCGGTATTACGTTTCTGAGAAGCATTACGTTGGACGGTTACCAAAAAAACAAGCTCACACGCGCTTGTAAATTACAACACCACACACGCTCACGTCCCGTACGTGACCGTATTCGCGCGCGATTAATAAATTATTGTAAATACACGTTATTGCATTAATAATAAAAATAAAGAAACGCTCACCGAGTCGGTGGTATTCAGTGTGTTCTGCAAATAATTTCATGTCGCCGCGCCCTGTCATTGTTTCTTCGCCTCGTTGATACGCGGTTGGCTCCGGTGGCGACAATAGCCGAGCTGTAATTTTTCGTCCAAACGCAAAAGTCAATTAAAAACAATGTTATCCTCCTCCGGTAGCCAGGGCGATGATCGAGGGGAGGCGGAGGGGTATCGTGAACGGCGGCAGCAAAAGTACCGGGGAAACGTGGTAGCGCCAGAATTACCAAAGGCGCCTGACCGGCGGCGCACTTTGGCCTCTGCCGGATTACTTTTCTTTTCTTATAAATTTTTATACATATATATATTCTTTTTGTTGTCCCGCACAACGTTTTCTTCTTCTCTCTTCACTTATTATTTTCATTCCTTTCAAAAGGAAAAAGGTTCTTTCGCTTTCCTCTTTAACTTGTTTTTTTTTCTATTATTTTCTTTTTTTGAACCGGACAAAAAAAAAAAGTATTATTCGACGAGTATATATAAACTTGTTGGATTCTAAAAATCACCACCGATGTCCCCACATTATATATTTCACGCCTCCGCCAACTTTTGATTAAAAACTTTTCGGCCCGATATTCTTGCTCGTTTTTTATTGTCGTGAGATTCTCTATGGGTGGCGCACGCCGTAGTAGTAAAATCAGACGAGGGTATTGGCCCGGTGGGATAAGGTACCTAAACTCTCAAACCGTCGTCGACCATTCGTATCGATATCAAATATTATTTTATCCGTTTCGCATTACCATTTTTACTTTGAACGAAAACAAACGATTGTAATAATCAAATAAAAATGGACACACTAGAACCAAATTGCTCGTCAAAATCACGTCTCAATGTTCGGCGGACTTTTCGTCGACTGTCTTTTGAATTTTTTCTTTTCATTTATTCCAAGAATTTTTTATTGGCCTTCTCTAATTGTCTCCGGATTCATTAAACGAGCCATTCGAGTGTCAAATGACAACTTCAGTTGGGCCCACCGGACTTTGGATATTCATTATAACCATCGACCGTGATAATTATGAGAATAATCAGCACTTATATGTTATATATATATATATATATATTTGAATCTCTTCCAAAACACGTTTTAAGAGAACGCTTCAATTATTCCAACGACCACTTTTATTTATTTTTCGCGCAAAAAAAAAATAATTCTGCTTGTGCTCGTTGCCGTTTAACAGTTCCTCGAGGTTTCCACGTGAAAAAAAACACGTCACTCGGTACATTTAACGACCACTCTCGCGGTAGAACACACACACACACATGTAAACTAATAATAGTGGACGCGAAGGCAGATGAGGGGCGTTTTGGCAGTGATACAGAACAGTAAAAAATCAGCCAACGTTTTGCAAGGCGCACCTTATTAGAGTGAAGTCGAGTATGATATAGCAGCAACAGAGGAGGACACTGCCAGAAAATAGTACGGTTCTTAACGTCGTAAATCCCTCCTCTCCCTCACTCGCAGCGGAAAACATTACTGTTCCGAACGCATACGATCCGAATTATTATTCAAGTATACATGTGTATACGTCAAACGGACAACAACAACAGCACAATATCAGCCGACCATATATAACGTATATGGTGCTGTATAATCACTCAATCTTAACTGCAAATGGCCTCCGAACCCGTTTGCCGAACGTTTTTATTGTCTGCACGGGCCCGATGTGTATCTTCTGTTGGCCGGAAAATTATTAGCCCGGTCGATGCCAAAAAATAACAACCGGAACAAAACGGTCACGTCGCGAAGTACACACACACACACACACACACACAGTGTTCGGGGGATGGAGTTGAGACATATTATTTGCGAGTGTTCTTTAAACGTGCTTGTACAAGACGCCGGGCGCATGGACAACGCGAGTGCATTTTTATGGACACACAGATACGCCTACCAGGGTCNCAGTGTTCGGGGGATGGAGTTGAGACATATTATTTGCGAGTGTTATTTAAACGTGCTTGTACAAGACGCCGGGCGCATGGACAACGCGAGTGCATTTTTATGGACACACAGATACGCCTACCAGGGTCGCGGGTCGCATTTGCCAAAGACAGGCCGATCTTCTAAACTAATAATGCATCGTCTGGGATATCATTGACAGCGATAAAAATGATTTACGCGATTCGCACAGACACACAGTTACATTAGACGGCTTGGCAGCTTTGACCGTCCGGAAACTGTAGTTAAAAGCTTTTGGTACGACGAGCCGAATACACGGAGATTTTAATTTTTACCCCGTTCCGACATGCGTATCCCTCTGCCCGCGCGATATATACGCACATCGTTAAGTCATAACGACGGTTTTGGTCATTTCTACCGGCGGCAAAGGGTCTTATCTGCTGATTCACCTCCGGACGGGAATACCGCGTATTCGACCGCATCTTCACAGCACCGGATATTTCGGCGTGTCGTTAAGTATCCGCCAACGAGAGTGTAACATTACACCGTTTTAAAGAGGGCCCGGTGATTGTTTTGACCGAGATTGACCCGAGTCGGAGGAGGACGTTCGGTAACAAGCCAGGACGATCGTCCTAGTGCCGCCGCCGGTGGTAATGACTATTTTACACGGTTCCAAATAGCGTTTACACGCGACGATTGTTGTTTCTCTCGACGGAAAGGTCCGAATTTGTTTGGTACCGTGTAACGAATGTGTCCCGTGGGACAGACGGTACTTCTCGTGCAGTGGATTCCTGCAATTACTCACACTACTACACCGCTCGTATTTGTGTGAGCAAAAACCGAGAGTTTTGATTAAAGCGTAAGAGTTTCGTGGCTTATATACATAAGAAACTCGGATTAAAACGGCGCCCCGTACGCCCGTTGTTTTTATGTTATCCTATGCGAGAAAATTAAATAATAAAAAGGAAATGTTTTTATTTGTTGGTCATTTTTTTTTTAACTTATCACTCGCCGTACAAACACCCAGACATGCAGTTTTTATGCTGCTGGTTTTTTTTTATTATTATCAACAATAAAATTCGTGTCAGTCCTGTGAAAAAATCACATCGTCCCAGATTCGGTTGCCGCGTTTATTTTTATGATATCGACTTAGTCACGGGGGCCTAATGGAAAACTGGGCGTTCCCGTGCTCTTCGTTTTCGGTACTTCGACAGTACCACACAAGATATATGTAAGATAGTGCACTATTAAAAAAAAAGACGACTATAATAATAACAATAACAGCCGCACGGCGACAATACAAATGTGACGATCGAGGCGATTCTTAGCGCCCCGGGGGGTGGGTGTCTTCTGTATTCTCACTGTACCCTATTATGCTGCTGCATACACGTCTCCAGTGCTCACCTCTATTTTCGCACTAGTTTCGGGAATAAAGTTAAAACGGCTCCACAGAAGTACACTGGCAGAAAACGTTCAAGAATAACCGTTTGCTTCTTTCCTCGACTTCTCCGTCCACGTCGATAAAAACTTTGTGCGCATATTTCATTCGCATCGATTACATCCAGACAACTTAATTATTGCTTCGGCCTTCAACCCCTGGCCGACATTGCATCCGAAAAGTTCGACCGTTTTATTCGATATGTAAACTGGCTGCGCGTGGTTTAATGTGCCGTAATTCCCAAATATATGGCGATACCACGTGAAATTTATACATTTATGAGAGAAAATTTTCCTACGGGCCAACAACCGCCGCGACGAAATGTACTGTATTTCGGTGAAATTACTTTTAAGCTATCGGATCGGATCGCTTGAAAAGTTTAGACGTTTAAACTTTTTGGTGTTTTATAATTGTGCGTTCAAATTTCTGCCGATGGTTTTGACATAAAAAAAAGAAAAAATCCAACTGAAAAGAAAAACATTAACCGCTTTTCAGGCAAACTCCGCTGTGTGTCGTTTGTCCTCGACGAGCACGGAACCCTTAAACTACACTCTTATTCTCCCCTCCTCCGTTTTTATATTAATCGCCGCTCATTTAGACGTCGACTTTTAATTAGCCGTAAACTTTGGATAAAACTATCGTACCTACATACAGAAGGGCCGACGGTGGAAACACAGTCTTATAAACTTTGTCTGATAATATATACGCGCACTTTGAGTTTGAGAGATAATAATTCACCGCTACGTTTGGGCTTTAAGGATGCGTTAAAAAACCTTTCAGACGTTTAATTGCCGAGCATTAATATCCTAAGAAGTTTTTGTAAACTGTACTTATATATATATATTTATAATTTATAAATTATACGGAATTATTAAACGACGCAAAAGCACTTACCTTTGTCACAGTCCATGAGCGTCACGTTTGTTTCTCTTTTTACTCTGTTGTCGATAATCACTTTTTTGTCATCTACCGCACATCTCTCCTCGTCTCCATCTTTACGTCCGGCCCCCCATTCATCGTTTGCCGACTACACCACGTGCCATGTAAAACAAAACAGGTAAATAAATAATTAAACGGAAATTTTAAACAGTTAATAGTTGGAGCAGTAAATAAATAAAACTGATTAATGAAATATTTTCGCTAAAAGCAATTCGAACTTCATGCAATCGAACGACATACGAAGCAATTTATCATAATAATATTGTAAACGGCAATGAAATTCCGTTTTTATTGCGCTAAACGTTTTTTATAAGACCGTTTATGATGTCTATGAATGCATTGCGTGTAAATCATTGGTAAAATATTATCTTGTATATTTTTTTCAGTACATTAACCTAGAAATATCTTATGATTTTAATTGGATTGATCAAAGATATATAGCGAGCAAAAAAAAAAAATATTGTGCGTACATAATTTCAAGTTGCCGTCATGTATATAGTAATTGTGTCGCGATAAAAGGGTTCTGAAAAAACTACAGTGGCCTTATGAAATGTCGAAAACATCCTCTTTGGCGCATAACTACAGTAGTGCCAGTTTAATTGCACTTATTTTCAACTACATAATTATGTTTAATATGTTTATTTATACGGTTGAAGGCCTAATAACAACTTTTATTACATCTATCATAATATAAGGTTTACTGCATGTGAACTTTAACGGAACGTTGAAAGATCTCTTGCAAACATAACCTAGTTTTTATTAAACAAAGTTCTTAAGGGTTACCTCGCTCAAAAATGTTTTATTTTTATCGAGTATTATTACGCATTTGACGACACATGCACATATCAATTATTTTCTGAAACAAATAGTAATTATAAATCTGATGAAGTTGACGTTTAGATTGAACATTTTAAAACGGTTCTCAGAATAAATAGCTATTAATGTGTTTGCGCGATAAATTTTATTTTTTCGTGTCGACAAAATTATTAATTCTAATTTCGCAGTATGTGTGTAATCGCCACAAACACAATATAAACATCAGCTCATTTATCACCGGCCGCCGCCAAGACAATGTTAACGTGCGTTTTCCAAAAGGAATATCTCTATAAGAATTTGAAAAATCTCCAATAATTACCGTAGACGAGTCTTTAGTGTTGTGGTCCTCGGAGATGGCTGTTCGGCGTGCGCCGTCAAGTTGTCCCTTAAAACCGCTATTGTCAGTGTCCGACAACAAGGGCTGGTGATTGTGATTGGTGTCCGGGTTGATGATGAGCTCGTCATCCTGTTCGCACAGTGTCATACCTTGTAGATGTCCGCCGACGATGTCACAGTCTTCGGTTTCCACTGCAAAACATATAGAGAATCGTAAACGAACAATGTACTCTTGCAAAAGTTTTTACATTTTATGTCGTAAACTTTATTCGGGCGTATTAGGCACGCGATAGATATCGGAAAGAGATAGCAACGGATTAGGGTGGACACAATCAAGCCGAAACGCATTTATAGGTTATATTATTTGGGTTCAGATAAATAGCATCGATACCCGGCGCAGTATAAATTGGACGGACGAGGAAACGGCGGCAATAAAAGAAAAGCGAAATCGTCGTGCGCTTTAACTACACGAGGACATAAATCATATTTTAAATTAGCAACGGCAGACGAACGCGGAGAGAGGGACGACGCCGAATTTATGGGCAGACGGCCCTCCTCTTGCGACGAGGTCCACCTTGGAGTTTCCGCAACACAAGCACTACTCGGCTTGTCGTCGGTCACCTCGTCGTCGCACACGGCTCCCCTTTGGAAAAACTCTTTTGGTACATTAAGTTAAGTGACCCTCTCACCGACGACAGGGTCCGTCATTTCGATGGCGATATTTCATACGCCGTATATGCGCACGCACTTAAGCCATTATTGTGTGTGCACTGTATAGACGGTAACGAGCGCGTCGTGTAAGCGCTATAAATATCACATCCGGCTCATAACGTTCACGGATATTTATTGACAACAACATTATTATGCAGAGCGTTGAACTAATGTAATATTTTAAATGGGCCAGGATTTTTGCGACAATCCCATAAACCGCAATCGCTCTCAATTGAAATCGCACGCACCTCCTCGTTATTGATAACGAATTGTATGTGTTTCGCAGGCATTGTATTATTTTTACGGATCACCGCTGTCACGTGTACGCCGCTGGCTGATGAGCGGAGTAATTAAGTCCGCACGGAGGTATTGAAAGGGTTTCCCCTAAGCGGACATGTACGGGTCGAGCTGTTGGAAGGGTTGTAGTACACACGGCAGGGAGAGTTCCCGTCGAATTAGCAATCATGTCAATCCATCCGAAACCAATCAACCCGCCGCTGTTGTTTTTCTTCTTTACACACACTCGCACACGTAAACACTAATGACACTGCACACCACCGACGTCATGATAATACAGCGACGACAGATGGCTTCCCCCTACCGGATCGCACATATACAACTGTTATTATTATCGAGACCCACTCGGTATTTATCAATAAACGCAATCGAGAAGCGGATACCTTACAAAAAGGTCATCGTCACCTTTTTGCTCGACTCCTCCTCGGTCAGTATAATGAAGGGGCAGAGGGAGCAATGATCAGAATACATACATATTTGATTTGGACACGTCGAAAATAAAAGGAAACTCGCAATCCACGACCATGTGCCTTTCAGCGCACTAAAGTTGTCCGGGGGAGTTTTGACATTAGGTCGCCATTGTATTGGGCGCGTGGCCGAGATCAGCATATAGGACAGTAACAACAATAATACGACGTATATAAAAAAAACTTTCTTTGACAATATTACATATTCGCAAACATGTGAAGTATAAAGGGAAATATTGTTTGTCGTGTCGACGTGGATTTATTTGTATTTTTTTTTTTTCATACAATTCCATTGAACATTGCGCGCACACATACAAGCAAAACTAAAAAGTCGAAATGCGCGTACAATGCTCACCTATACTACACACAGCGTGTACCTTTGTATACGTTGAACAAAATATGTACGACACGAAGGGCCAACAATAAAGGTTACAAACGTTTTTTTTTTATTTGTTTTAATTTATAGTGCTGTTGGTTGCAGTGGTGTGTGTGCCAATGACTTATGCATCGTATACGTGATACAACGCGTTTGATACCACAAATAAACAAAAAATACATATAACTAACGGTCACTAGAACAAAAGTCAAAACGTACGTGTGACTCTAATCGGGGGATGAGCGTTGGTATAATAAAAATACAACAAAAACTACCACCGCATGTACAAATTAAGTGCCCCTACTCTCAGTTCTCACCGAGCGGACGGTGAAAAATTGCCGTCGGTTTTCCAAAATTTATTTATGTGTTCCCTCCCCAGGCTCACGCTCGTGTATAAATTACACGTGTTTACGTGAGCCCATCGTTATTATGTCACCATAATAGCGACAAATACGTGGACTGTGTATCAAAATAATAAATTAAAAAAGTAACTGCGGACAAACCGTTTTTGCATAGAATTTCATTTGTGAGATACGTTATAAATGCGATTAAAACGTGCAGAATTGAAAAAATACCAAACGGTGTTATTGAACGAATAAATAAATAAAAAGTTTCCCGAAATTATGCCAAAGTGCTATCAAACAAAAAGAAATGTTCAACACATTTACTTAAAAATATCAATTAAAACCAAAATACTTAATTCTGAAAGCTACAAAAATATACTAAATAAAATGACAAAAATCGCCCCGTCAATTCCTTACGTGACATTTTAAAAGATTAGGTGTAACGATAGTTTTTCTAATTATGTTTTCCTTCGTACGAGTGCGGCAACATAATCCGTGGCAACGATTTTTCCTCGATAGCTTTCAATGGAATGAAAACCGCCACAGTGGCGTCGCGATGATAATAATAGTAATAATGGCAGTTCTATCTTCGCGATAGGAAAAAAAAATGTCACGTGAGCCCCACCGTTTTATACTCGAGCGTCGGGGGGGGGGGGGGGGAGAGACTATAATAACATTTTTGGCAATAGCTTTTCGTATAATAACACGGCGGCGATGTATGGACAAGCGTGCCGGCGCATCGGACCTAAAGATTTTCTTGGGGCCAATATCGTTATGTGTTATTTCCCCACCGTGCACATGCATTCTTCGCGTCTCACGTTGTACGAGAAAACTGTCTATAAAAACAATAATGATACCCCACACCGTTAAGTCGATAAATAACGATAAAGATAATAATATACAGCGCCATCCTTGTCTCTCCGAAGCTATGTGTACATTAATACTTACACATATGGGAGAGGTGGTAATCATCAACGCCTTATAATAGCAGATTCTAAAATCTTTACATTTCAGTATTGATGAACTGATGACATTCTACATTCGACTATTTTTAACATTTTTAGAAATTAACTATTTAACGATACTCATTAAATAGATTTAATCTTTAACAGAGATTTTTAAAGCCGCTAGCAAAAATAATCACTTTGTTATTGCAAAACATTCCACGATCGAACTTGTGCCCACGAAAACCGAATCCGTAATATAAATGTCACCCCAATCAAACAAAATAAATAGCCAACTAATTATTTATACAGACCCATATTACTATTTAAGCAGACGTTTTTTTTCCTCAAAATTGTAAATTAACAAATGCTGTTAACAAACTATGATAAAAACACGCGCGAGACAGATAAATGTTTACATGTCGACAAAAAACACGTTTATTTTGAAAAATTAAAATGTGAATTTTGCTTAAAGAAGCTCTACTCTTTGGAGTGGTCATTAACATAAAAAGGGTTCCAAAGACGCAAAATAAATNCCATATTACTATTTAAGCAGACGTTTTTTTTCCTCAAAATTGTAAATTAACAAATGCTGTGAACAAACTATGATAAAAACACGCGCAAGACAGATAAATGTTTACATGTCGACAAAAAACACGTTTATTTTGAAAAACTAAAATGTGAATTTTGCTTAAAGAAGCTCTACTCTTTGGAGTGGTCATTAACATAAAAAGGGTTCCAAAGACGCAAAATAAATCGTGTTGACGACTCTTTTGAGTTTTCGACGAGTTGATATGAAGAGGGTCGCTGTGGTGGATTCAAGCGAAATAACCGCATTTAACACGAATTTGCTTCGTCTTTAATTTTGCACGACTTCTTGGCCAAAATGGCCATCATGTGTCCTTTGTGGTAAATTTGGCATACGGCGACCATGTCCAGACCGCACTGGGCAAACTGCGGACAGAAAGAGTCAAAGCAAAGGGTTCCGTCGCGACGGGGAGTTGTAATGGGACGAGGAAAAGTAGTTTTTTGAAAGGCGTTCGCCGAGAATAGGCCTTGCATTGCCCGGACGGGCTCGCGCCAACGTATATACGTTACACGAGGCGGCCGACAGGAGGTCGTTTTTAAGTGGATTACTCGATCCATGGCCGGGGCGTACAGCGATAATTTGACGGACGGCATCGGGGATTATCCAACGATGCGAGATATCCGGGACGAAAAAACCCCTACCCGAGCGCGTGTATACGGACAGACAGGGCGTAAGTCAAAAAGACTTGGCGTGCATTAACGTGATTAACAACAATGGAAATACACGGGACCTGCCGCGTCCCCGCAACACGCCCTCGCTTAGATATCTGTACGGCAAAAAAGCGCATAAAATATTTTATACGGTAATTCGATTGTGTACGTGCACACGTCATAAACGGAGCATGCGAGAAAGGCGTTGCCAGTATTTTATTATTTTTACGGAAATTTCTTGCTTATTTTTTGCCCTTTTTTTTTGGATTTGGGGGAAAATATATACATTTGTCGACGATGCGAAAGATACGATGACGAGTGCTATCATTTCAGGCGAGAGCGGCGAGGAAAAAAATCTATTACCGAGGCACGTGGCGGCGGGTGACGGAAATCCGATGAAAATCGAAGGTTAATTATCATAACAATGGAAGAACGAGAGCGTCGTCACCGACATTGTCATTGTATGCGCCGCGCAGATAGATTTTCGGGTGGAAACGGCAGGAAAGGGCGGCAGCGACGGAAAAGGTACAGATGGATGTATAGAATTCGGACAGGATGTGTCATCCGGCGGCGGTACACCGGAAACATCCGAAAAGTCCTGCGAGGATTTCGGGACAATATGCGCGCCGAGAAAACGGTCGAATTCTTATTTTGCCGTCGTTCCCTTTTATTCGCAGTAGTATCTTATCTGATCTCTGGCCGTACATACTCGAGAAGCACATAACAATAACACACGCCCCGAAAAGACACGCGGAATACAAAATGTATAAATGAATATAGCAAAGTGCACAACATGTACACACTTTCTGTCGAA